GGCGTATAGAGCAGCTGTCCATGATTCAACGAAGCTAACTCCAGCTAGTATAGTCTTTGGAAGAGAACTCCGCTTACCTTGTGACTTGGTGTTCGGTTCACCAAGTGTTGAAGAAAAGGAAGTACAAGACTACGCAGATGAGCTCCGAAATGGCTTGATGAAAACTCATGAGACTGCTCGGAAAAGATTGAAATTAGCAAGTGACAAAATGAAGGCACGGTATGATCTCAAAGCCAATTCAGAGGGATTCTTTGAAGGAGATCGAGTTTGGCTGTATAATCCTCGACGGAAGAAAGGCGTATCACCCAAATTAACACCATCTTGGGAAGGACCGTATAAGGTGTTGAAAAGGATCAACGATGTGGTCTACAGAATCCAACGCAGCCCTAGGACAAAGATGAAAGTCGTTCATCTTGAAAGACTGAAGCCTTATCATGGTGAGGAAAGTTTTGTTTTTGATCGGGACGATCAAATTTGAAGAAGGGGGTAAATGTTACGACCCTGGCGATCAACCCCAGCTACCTGCGGGAACGGGAAGTAAACAAGGCCATATTTCTTGGAATAGTAATTAGGTGATTCGACGGCTATTGAGATGACTCGAGAAGATTATCGACCTGTTCACGATATTTCGAGTGGAATCTAGACGTTTTATTAGGTAGTATAAATAGTTGTTGTTAGGGACAGGAAAAAAAGTCTTTATTTGGAAGCGTTATAATAACGATCGAAGAAGTGTTGTGAATCGGAAGTGTTTAGTACGAGTATTGTAATTATTGTATAGTAGTGTTCGGAATAAATCGTTTTAAGTGTTATACCGAGTGTTAAGTTATTACGGACCCAGAGTAAAATCGTAACAATATACCTCTGATTTGACTGAACGGAATTCAGCATACTTGGTCTCGTTCGGGAGAGTAATGTTTGTTGATTATATTGAAGAAACACCAGTGCCATGCTGGTTCCAGCTGCACTCACTAGGGGGCCTAATTAAAACATTTCTGAATTTTTTGATTTTACCCCAAAATCTTGAATGGAATGATATTATTATTTTATCAGTTTTGGAAAGTGAATAAAATTTGCAAGAAATTGATTCAAACCGCATGTTGATATCTTCATTCGTTCCAAAGTTATCTCCTAGAGACTATCTATTAATGAATTTATTGAAGAAATAATTAATTTTTCTATTAGCATTCAAAGTTCAAGCAAAGAATATAAATTGCTACTTCGAACAAATAATTGCATTTATCTGTCACAAACAAATTGAACAAATCATGACAACTGGTCGTTTCCAAGGAAATTTGAAAAATAGAAGATTGAATTGTTTCTTCAATAAATTCATTAATAAATATTCTTTAGACGGTAACTTTGAAACGAATGAAGATATCAACATGCGGTTTGAATTGATTTCTTGCAAATTTCATTCACTTTCCGAAACTGATGAAATAATTATATCATTTCATTCAAAATTTTGGGGTAAAATAAAAAAATTCAGAAATGTTTCAATTAGTCCCCCTAGTGAGTGCAGCTGGAACCAGCATGACACTGGTGTTCCTTCAATTCAATCAACTAACATTACTCTCTCGAACGAGACCAAGTTTGCTGAATTCCGTTCAGTTAATTCAAAGGTATAGGTATTTTAGTCAGGAAAGGTTCAACCGCGTCTACCGCCCTTATTTCACATCGTACGAAAAGAAGTGTAGGAACAAAAAGATGCACTATTTTTAAAGCATTAGCGTGATAGCTTCTGTTCCTCAGCTCATGTTGAAAAAGTCGCTGGAAAAATCAATTTTTCATACGACCATAGCAATTACGCCCTCCAGCGGTAGATATAGAAACTAAAAAACTATTTCCAGCAATTTCCCTTGGTCGATTTTCTAAGAATTTTTTTCTCAACCTCGTACGACTTCTAGTTCCTGAGATATGGTACCTCGCTACCCTTAATGAATCACCCGGTATACTATAGCCTTAGTCTTACCCATCAATATAAATTATTATACAAAGTATACACAATCATTCTTGGACTTCTACTGTACCCTAATAACACAATTATGTCCCATGAATATCTTTAGGACGACTTGTCGGGACATTCAGGACGTCCATAGGACGTTCGAATTTGTTACCGTGGACATCCATTGGACGTCTGTGGGACGCACAAAAATCCCCCTTGAGGACTGGGACAACTATCGAATACATTTATCCTACAGTGTTCCTTATCAAGCAATACGGAGGACATCCTTAGGACATCCGTAGGACAACCTATCAGCAACGCTGAGGAATATCAATTGGATGTCCATAGGATGTCATAGGGACGTACGAATTATTCTAGAAATTGAATTTTCCTGTGTCCCTCTAGGACGAGATCTTGCATAACTGATGAGGACATCCAGTTGAGATGATGGTCCGTAGAAGGTCCCCAATAGATCCTGAAAAGGTTTCCCAAGGATTATCAATGGACGTGGATGTGGAGGACATTGAAGGGGAGTATTTATAGCCTACAAGCAATCATTCGTCGACGAGGTGTAAGTTCACGTCTTCGCAGGGACAACATATTGAGAGTACCGACTGGGACGTCCGACGGACGTTATTTCTAGGATATCGGAAAAGTACAGTTCGTGTACCCATTGGGACATCCGACGCATATCCCTAAAATATATTTCGATTATTATACAATCCTAGAAATATTAAGGACTTCTGTGCAGAGATATTTGAAAGTATGTACCATCAGGGACATTTCATGTTTGCCTAGAAGGGACATTATATAATATCTGGAGTCATGCCAGAATTTGTACTACTCGGGACATCCGATCGATGTCCCTGAAGGAACGTTCAAAATCATATACCATCAGGGACATTCCAAGGATATCCTTGCATGGATATTCTACAATATGTACCACGTGAGACGTCTAAGGGATGCTATTTATGGGACATTTGAAATGATGTACCTGCTGGGACATTCCGTGGACGTCCTTGCTCGGACATTTCATGACATGTACGGGATGGGACGTCCCAAAGACACTTATTTTTGGTCCGGTACATTCGGACTTGAATTGTACCAAATAGGAACGTCCCTAAGACGTTGTGTGCTAATAGGGTATTTCTTCTCATTCCCAGTGTTGCCAACATGAAATTTTCATTATTTCATGTTGGAACACTTGAGACAAATACAGATAGAAAAGCCTTTTTTTTTTCTCTCATGGCAATAATTGGAATGTTGAGAATATTAATTTTTGCACTCACCTCAAAACGAAGATCCCCCAAGGGCGGTTCTCCATATGGTATTCCCCGGAAATAATAATACATCTCATTGTTCTCCACAGTACTACCGGTTCCTCCCAATATGGAACCATCGTTTATATTCAATAATACTGCCTGAAACAAAATTCCTCATGAATTTCGCGAAAAATCATCTTAATTCAATGTGTTTCTTATAGAATTGGAAATTTCGCAAATCTTCGACGAATTTGAAGCCAATATATTTTATCGTTACCATAGCAACTGAACAAATTTCCGAAAATTGTTTCCTCCTCCTGAGGAGAAGGAGCATGAAATCACATTGAACTTTTTTGGCGTTTATAGGTTGAATGACATTCTACATTCAACATCAGATTATAAGGGGCCAAACTCCTACGAAACGGCCCGACTGATTCGTATGAAATTTTTTGTGTGTATTCGGTAGGTATGAAAATCGGTCGTGAGCTATTATCGAAATGGAAATTCATGATGGCAGATCCAATATGGCAGACGAATTTTGTAATTATAATCCAATTCTTTTCAAAATTGGTATTTAGGAGTTTTTGGGGTCGGACGTACATTATGATTCTCTCATTAAAATTTTGAAATTCAAGATAGCGGATCCAATATGGTGGATGAGTTTTCCAATTATGGTCTGATTCTATTCAAATTTGGTATCTGAAGGTTTCTGGAGTCGGACTTTACGAATCCATCGTCAAATTTAGGAAATTCAACATGGCGAATCCAATATGACAGACGAGATTTGTAATTATGATCTAATCTTATTCAAAATTTGTATCAGAGGATTTTCAAAATATGGAAATTCAAGATGACGAATCCAATATGGTGAACGATTTTGTAATTACGATCCGATTCCATTGAAAATTTGTATCTGGAGGTTTTTGGGGTCTGAGATTATGATTTTGTCTTCAAAATTAGAGAATTCAAGATGGCGGATCCAATATGGCGGAAGAGCTTTGAGATAAATAGTAGTTTGAAAAATTATAATGGGAAACGCATTAATGGATTGCCAAACTCGAGGCCAGACAGAATAGGGGAAGAAATCAGATAGTATAGTTTGAAAAATTAAAGAAATGGATTGTCGAACTGAAGAGAGGTAGAAAATAAATTGATGGTAGTTTGAAAAACTAAGGAAACACGCTTTGTATAGATTGTCAAACTGAAGAGGAGTAGAAACTGAAGAGTGGTTTAAATAAATGGAGAACTCGATTGCCAGATTGAAAACAAGTAGAGAATGAATAGAAAAATTCGAAAAACTAAAGAAACTTGCTTTTATGGATATCCAAACTGAGAAAAAAAGGAAAATGAATTAAAATAATGAGAATAACAATTTTCTAGAGATGATGTTTATGGCAAAACAAAAATTTTGTCTGGTCAATCAGTAAGTAAGTAGGATTAGTTGATACATCGCTCGTATGGAAATGTATTTCTACCAACTTCAGCTGAATTAAAGGGCCGTTTTTACGTTCATGCAATCTGCGCAAATTGACTTGTGCATGCTGATTTGCGCAAATGAACTGAGTCGTTGTATTCTATTCACACGTTCAGTCTATTACGCACCATTGTCAATTGTGCGAGCCTAGTAAATTCTGATATTCTGAATAATAGCAATAATAACTCCAAAAGTCAAGTCGATGGATCAGGAAGACGAATTATATGCACTAGCTGGTGTTTGTTTGATATTAAAAAAAGTGTCAAAAAAGAAAAAGCCCAGAAAACCGCAGAGAACTTGGATTGAAAAGAGAGCCACTTACTCTCATATTAATTTAATTAGCTCAATGAATTCTGTAAAGAATACTTGTTCTTTTTTCGACATTATTGCCAAACAAACACAAATACAAACAAAATGACTCAGGAGATTGTTTTAGGGAGTTTAAAGTTACAACACACCGAAATCATCCCGAAATCACTAATGAGATGCCGTGCAGGTCAGAACAAGAATTCGCTGCTACTGAGTTTCTGCGCATGCGAGCGGCATCCGTAGAGTTTGAGTGTTGTTTACACGTTCAAGCATTTGCTCCAACCACATGCAAATTATCTGACCAGCCAGATTTCACTCAAGTCAAGCTTTCTGGTTTGTACAAGTGCACGATTTCGGTTTTCATGGAACAATTTGCTTGCGCAAATTAGCATGCACAAGTCAATTTGCGCAAATTGCATGAACGTAAAAACGGCCCTTAACTCGTAAAATACTGAAATAGGAACTCATTATTCAATTCAACTTGAGTCGTTTGATTATATTTCGTTCAACCTCATGATATTACGTGCGCAAACTTCATTTATACAACATAGTACTTCGAGTTTCTTGTGGGAAAATATATTTCTACCAACTTTAATAAAATCAATTTGTGAAAACCTGAGAAATTACCTACTATCGACATATTCTTCATTAATTTGGGAACTTGATTGAGGTGATTGTGTTTTTTTCAACCTGAAAATTTTATGGCTGTGAACTTTCTCAATACTACATAGTGCTTCGAGTTCCTTGTAAAAAAATGTCTTTCCACTAAATTCAGTGGAATTGAATTAGTCAACAAAAATAGCTGCCTTATCTATACTCTGCGTAACTAACTAAAGTCGATATTTTGTATTTTATTCAGCGTCATTTCATCCTAGTATTTTTTCAATAATATTTTGATGTGCAATTTTTTTACTGAAAACGACTCTCTAGCTTCAATTGAGAACCAGAAATTGAAGCTCTCGTAGTATTATTACTGGAAGCATCCCAAATTTGAAAATATTTTTTCTTCCGATTGGCAGCAAATATTAATTTTGCTGACACATATCAATCAGCAAAGTATTACTTTTCCTGCCTAGGCAGCAAAGTGGTTACTTTGCTGATTGATATGTATCAGCAAAATCAAAAATCCATAAATCGTTTATAATTTCCTTCATATTTCATCCGAGACTTCTCCGGCAACAAATTCAACTCTATATTTTTTGCCACCTCCCTTATTAATGGAGGTGTAAGTATACTTCCAGGTCGCTATCACTGTCCATTATATAATAATTTAAATATACCGATATTTTCTCGCACAACTGTCAGAAATTTCATGAATTGTCAAACCAACAACTGCGATTTCTACCAAATTTTATTTTAATTGAACACTATACAGGAAGAATAAAGAGATTGTGGGAATTGTTTTAATTCGCAAATACAATATTCTCCCATATAATTATGAACAATCGTAGAAAAAATTATATGTTCAACTCGGCAGCAAAGTAGATTGACTGCCTTAGCTGGATTCCTAGCCTCGCTACGCTCGGCTATGAATTCAGCCACGGCAGTCAATCTACTACTTTGCTGCCTAGTTAAACAAATAACTATTGTTTCAGCACTATGTCAATTTCATCGAGAGTAACCCAACCTGCAATTCCAAGCACAGGCAAAAGAACTCATGAAACTTTCACATACAGTGGAGACCAAAAAGTTCTTAATGTTTCAAAAAAGATAGAATAGGAAAGTGGAATATATTGTATTTCATTTGTTACAGTTTTCTCATTGAATTGCTGCAAATATAATTGAAATTATAGTTCAGATGTGTTCATGATTCCACAACTATTGATATTTGTGATATAAATACTCTTTATTTTTTATGTTGAATTAAGAAGTTACAAGGGGGACGATGGACTTTTGGTCCTCACTGTATATTCAGTATCAATGTTGGTATTTCGACCCATTTCATAACTTTATAAAACAAATCTCAATGATAGTCAATAAAATCGACATAATTTTTGCTTATACAAGGTGTTTCCGAAATTGGGGCAATAAAAGAAATGGATGATTGAAACGAATATACAAAATGAAATGAGAGAATACATTTCTGTATTCTGGAAAATAGTGAGCTTCAAAGTTTGTCTGAAACCTTTGTAAATCATTGATGAGAGGTCGATCCCTAACAACACGAGATCTTGCTGGTACATCCCGCTAAGGTCCTACAAATGTCCCAATGTTTCAGACTTAGGTACGATATCCCAGAGATGTTTCTCTTGGGACATCCATCACATGTTTTCATTGGATGATCTAGAAACATCTCATTTGATCTTTTTTTTATAAACAATATCATGGTTCCATATTTGCCAATGATGATTGACATGATTAAACAGTTCAAACAATTGTGACATTTGAAACATTGAAAAGTTGGTAAAAAATCTAAATCAAAACTGTACTTGTACTCATATATATACCTATACCAAAGCCGGCTAATTTCATCGATAACAAATTGAAATAATTATACTAAATATTCCTCAATAAGATTACCAAAGTACCTGCTTAACTTCATGAACCATGTAATAAAACGACAAAATTGAAATATATCTCTTCAGCATATTTATTGCTGAATTTATTTATTATACCAGCCGATAGATGGCGGTATTACTACGATGCTAAGAGTTACTAACCGCCGTCGGCCCAGCGCCAACAAATATGAGCCTCAAAAACTGTCATCATCTTCCATTAGTTATTGGACCGCACCGACCTTATATTTTCGGATTCGGATTGTTACTTTATATCTGGAAATAGGTCGGCCATTTTCAGGATTTCAGATTGAAAATAATTCATACCGTGTCATCCATTACTGTCATCAAACAAAAAACATCCTGAAAGTTTCTCTGAGATGTTCCATATCAAGTACCCTGAATGTCTCTGGTACATCCCGTATCATCTCACAAACATTCTGATGTGATGTTTATAAGACATTGCAAATGCTGACACGGGTATTGCCAGCAACATCCCAAGAATGTCCCAAGGAATATAGGGATTTTCCAGAGATGTTCCCATCATCCCATATGGATGTTTCTACGACGTCTTACAGATGTTATTGTGTTATTAGGGATAGCCCAAACTGAGCGTCTGTTTTGGCTGAGATCACAAGTACTGAAAGTATCATTGACTTCAACAATGTTTCCGGACGTTCAATAATAGTTGAAAGAGTTTTGATGAGATTAGTGCATTGGTGATTTGGGTCGTTAGTGAGTGTGTTGATGAGTTAGTTGTTGATGAAATGGTAATAATTTGGATGGAAGAATGGGTACAAATTTGAGGTGGGTGGTTGATGAATCATACGCTGCAAATTAGATGCGTTATTGACTTTGATGGTTCATGAAATGGGTCTCTGATAACTTGGTTGTTTGTTAGTGACTTCAGTAGTCGATGGGTTGGATTTTCATGAGAGACCAGGTGTTTAGATGATATGGGTGATTCATGAGATAGTCGTAGTTGAGTCGAGTGTTGCTGGAATGAGAATGGGTGCGTTGTTGATTAAGATATTGATAAATTTTGAGTTGGATCATCGATGAGTTCAATGTTGCTAGGATAAGGTTGTTGACTTGATGACACCTTTTTTGTTGATCGATTACCCAGGTAGCACATCATATTGGCTGGAACCCGATTTCATATTGGGCCGATATAGATATATCGTACATGTGAAAAATAATATAGGTCCAATATGAGAGTATATTGGACAAACAATATTGGAATGATAATATTGGTGGAATATTGGTTCAACCTGAGCTGAATATGGATTGTCAGCTACAATATTGGAGCAATATTGGTTGTAAAATTCGTTAACAATGTGTTGAAAAACATATCTATGAATGTTATATAATATTGTTTTACGAATGTCGATACAACAACATAGTATACATATTGTTCCCGACATTTACAACCAATATTGCAATTTGAACATTCTCCCCATGTCGATTCTGAAGCGGTTATGCAATATTGTATTTTCAAGTTAAATGGCATATCGGTTGGATATTGTTTTAACAATATTTGAAACATTATATTCACCCATCTTGATTGATATCATTTTATCTATATCATGCGGAAGATATCGTATACAATTTGCTTCTTACATTCATAACCAATATCGCAATTTGAATATTGTCCCCATGTTGATTCTGAAGCGGTTGTGCAATATTGTATATTTGAGTTCGACGGCATATTGGTTGAATATTGTTTCAACAATATTCGAAATATCATATTCACCTATCTTGATTAATATTATTCTATCCATATCATGCGGAAGATATCGTATACATATTGTTTCCAACAATTATAACCAATATAGCAATTTGAACATTCTCCACATATCGATTCTGAAGGGGTTTTCAATGATTCAAATATGAATATCAATAACGGCAATTCAATATGTATCTTATATCGGACATAGAAGAGAAAAACAATATTGTATTTTCAAGTTCAATTGCATATCGGGTGAATAGTTTTCTAGCCATATTCAGAAAATAATATCATCTTATATTGGCTGATATGTGATTCACTATATCATGTAAGCAATATTGTTCACATATTGTTTTGAGAATACATATCGATATCGGAATTTCGATATTTATTCCATATTACGCACTCCTAAACCGATGTCGATAGATGGCGCTATAAATGATTGGTAACGTACTCTCATTGCCGATCCGACGAGAGAATTTAAATATTGGCTCTAGACGATTGTGAAGTATTATAACCTGGAGTAGGGGTTAACCGTGATCAACAAGGCGGCTTCCCTAGGGCAAGGCCCTCCCATTGCACTCCGGCTGGGCTGACCTTTGTGATTATTCCTGATGCGAATAACTCACAAATATTGGTATGAAAATATTCCACCAATATTTTGAAGACAACATAGCTACATAATGATTTTCAATAATGTACCAATATTCTCAACCAATATTGCACCAATATAACTTCACGAATATACCAGCAATATTGGTATGAGAATATTCAACCAATATTTCTGAGACAACATAC